CCCCAAAACCCCAAAACCCCAAAACCCCAAAACCCCAAAACCCCTCTTTCAAAAACAGAGGTTGAAGGTTATGAAAGTGTTTAATTTGATTAATTTATCTTCTCTATCTCAAGATCTTCACTATAGCTCAGCTTAGTGTCCTCCATGAGGTTGAAAACGATCCTGTATTTCTCTCAGATAGAAGCCTCTTCGGTTCAGAGAATTACTGTGTAATCTCCAGGCTCAAGAGTGGTCTCAAGACAAGAGAATCCTTTGGAATATCATCCTGGGTTCTTGTTTTTCGTGATGTTTGAGAAAGGAGTTTCTGATATTTTACTTCCACCTTCAAATACTGCAAGCATGATGGAGTTTTTCTCGCATTCTGCCTTTATTTGGATATGAACTGGTTCAATTACAGTCACTTTATAGTGAGGGTTATTTAAGGAATTTTCAGAAAGTAAGTCTCCTCCTGGCCTTTTCGGATTCCACTTCCCTTTCACTTGGTATGAGTCCTCAATAACAGGCTCTGGAAGCTCCTTCACGTCAATATCAATGAAGGAGAGAACATCTAGGGAAAATTGCACCTCATCAGATTTGTCAATATCGTCTCCTTTGAGAATGGCTAGGACATAAGACTCATCTGAATTTGAGTTTTCAAATATAAAGACGTCAGAGCACATCTCTCTTTTGGAATATTGGAAAGCTCTGAGATTGTCTTCAGGATAAATTGCTCTATACCCTTCAAAAGAGAACAACTTGAAACTGATAAACCTATCACCATTTTGTTCGAAGTTTCTCATATGTCTCTGAAGGAAGATCCTTACTTCAAAATCATCTTTGTGAGGTGGAATTGTGAATACAAATTGGGGGCAGTATTCCACTCAGTAATTCTCATCTAAGAATTTCCCGCTCAGGTTAGGATATTCTGACTCTGGAAGATACCTGTTTTTCCAGAATGAATGAATTTGCTTTTTAAAAGGGTAAATAGAAGGATTCCAGCATAGATTTATTTGGGTGTAATAGGAGAGCACATCCTCCCATTTTAGCCAGAAAGTCGACTCTATTTTTCTAGTAGTCCCAGATGGAAGCACCACTGGTTCTATTAATTCTCCAGTTAAACTGTGTGTTTCATTTGGTTTGTAAATAGTAAAACTAGTAAAACCACCTGAAGGGTTTGATCATTTGATTAATTTGTGATCTTTGAACTCCCTGATATCCAATACTGCTAAAAGAGGGGAATCCTCATTAGTCAGCTCCGTGTCAGAGACACATAATTTAGCTTCCTCTTCTTCACTGACAGCATTGACACTGAGAATGATATTGCCTTCTTTAAAGTTTTGCTTCATCCTTGACCACAAGTTGTCCTTATTATTGACATCTCAAAATTTGACTGTCTCTGGGATCCATCCAATGAAATGATGCATTTCGATTGAAGGGTTTGATGAAATTGATGTATAATTACTTCCATAGATCTTAGCAGTTGCTTTTTCAAGCAACTGTGTTACAAGCTGATTAGTATGGGTCGTAAATAATGCTTCAGAATCTGAGATATATGGAAGCTTATCATTTATAAGCACAAGTCTTTGAGCTCCATTGAATCTTGCCTTGACTCCATAAACTCCTGACTTGCTCAAGAGAGGTGTGTTGTTCTTATTGGGATATACCAAACTTCCAATTATTGTCTTAGAAAATTGCTTGTCATAGTTACTTATTGAGATAAGAGCTCAAGCGAAAGAAATCGATGATTTTAGTTTTCCCATTATTATTTTTGAAGGATTTAGGTCTTTAGTCATTATCTCTGGCTTCTCAGAAATTTCATGGATATCCTTGCATGTAAATTTAGGCAAGTCACTGCTTGGATAGTCTTTAGTTTCATCTTCAGTATTGTCAACATTTTTGTAGAATTTTAGTTTAGAATGTTTCCGAGTATCCCAAATCGGCATAAAATAGTTGTTTATCTTAGCACTTTTGTCAAGAATTTCTTTCTGGCGCTGAAGAGATTCTTCAAAAGTGAGCATTGACTCAACTGGGATTTTTTCAATTTTTATGTACATTGCTTCATTTGGACCTCCTTGAGGGGGTTCTTCTTCATCGAGTAGTACATCTTCATATCTCTCAGAGTAGTCATCAAAATTTTCCTCGAGTTCGATGTTTCCACCTTTGTGTAGACTAGAACAATTGATAATTTTTCAATAATCACAGACTTACTTATTATAACTTTCTTCATATTTTCTCTTCTTTGATTGCTCTCTTTTCTGAGGATTAGTTGAAAGAGTTGAGAGTTGAATGAAATTGTCATTATCCTTGCGATCAGGACTAGGTGCAATCCCTCTCTTATCGATGCTAAACATGCTAATTATATCCTTAGGATCCATGAATTGTGAGACTTCTCTAAAGAACTCACTCTCTTTGAGACATTCTAGCTTCTTAATTTGGCTATCATTCAGGTTAGCCATATTGGGGTGTCCTTTAAAGTATTTTTCCCAGTCACCAGAGCTGAAATGATGCTTATGGAATATCCGTCTCATTTCTTGGCTAACCATGAGTATCTGTTGCTCACTCAATTGCCTCTTGTTCTTCAAACGTCTGAAGGACTCCACTAGAGGAAGAGGGGAGACCCCCTTGGTCTCTAGGCCAACGAAGGTCTTGAGGATTGAAGAGTTAGTCCCACTTTTCTTACTTCTTTCTATTTTATTAGCAATGATGTCGTCGGGATGGAAGTTCAAGATTGACCTCATCGAGACGCTAAGCTTGGAATTTTGAAGCTCTTTGGGACCTTCAGGTAAGCCAGAACTCTTCTTAGTATATCCTTTACGGCTTTTGATCACGCTTGGATCTGAGATGTATTGGGAACTTCTGTCGATCTGTATTGAAGGTTAGAGGAGACAGGGTGCTAGGCTATAGATTAGTTGAAGGAACTTCGATAGTGGCTTAAAAAAGCTCAGTTGTTTAGAAACAAAAGGTTTTTGCATTGGCCATAGATTTGAAAGACTTTTTCTTAAAAAATTCTAGAGAAAATTCAACTTATTTCTCATTAGAATAATCGTTAGCATGATTTTTCATATAAAATTACTAAGCTTCCAAACACCTCAATGCGGAAAGATAGACTGGAATCTTTGCTATTTTGACATTATGCTTACTTTGAGGACTGGTGACTTATTTATCCTTGCCATCAGCAAAATCAATTGGCTGATCTAGTATTTCTGCACTACTCTTCCTCTCAAGTTTATTCTCTTCGTATTCATTGATGTCAATATTTTCTATATCTTCTACTAGGTCTAGTTTTTTAGGTATATATTTCATTAGGTTCAGTCTGAAGAGCTCCAGCGGTTTCCGACCGGACACGGATGGATTTCTTGGTCCCATCCTTATTTTGATTTCAGCATCCAGCTCCCATATGGTATTTAGGTTTATTCAATAATTTATAATTTTAAAGGGGTTTTGGGGTTTTGGGGTTTTGGGGTTTTGGGGTTTTGGG